TTATAGGATTTTCTATTAAAAAATACCAGTCAGCGTTTTTTTTATTTTTTATTTTCTCATGGACATTGAAGTAGATTTGGAATCTTGTCTCACTTTTACAGTTGTGATTATGTTAATCTCTCAGCATCTTAATCTTTTGATCGGATCAGTTAATTCATAAACAGTTTTCTTCATTGAATTAACGGTTCCATTTGAAGAATATATCGACTCAGCACATCTGTATAAGCTGGAAAATGGTAGACAAAGATCTACAAGAGCAAATGCATGAGAAATGGACGGACGACCAATATATTTCCAATCAAAGTCAGAAACAGGTGTTTATTGCCATCTCAACTTCAGCATACATAAAAAGAGAGTGTCAACAACAACAGCAAGGTGAAAATATATTAACTATCTCCAAGATCATGTGGCAAAACCTCATTGTATTTTGAGATACTGCTGTGGTGTTCTGGCTTAATGGTAATGTTGTTTCAGTCCCGAAGCTATGCCTAATTACAGTGATATCTATAGATAAAGACTTTGCCAGATGCACTGACATTATATGTTAATGGTAATAGTAATATTAACTGTTTCCTTATGAGGAAACATTCGGCATTAATTGACCAAGCAGCCTGTACTACATTTGACTAAAATTTTAAAAAACAGTTCTCATAAAACATTTTTTTTAAGAAAATGGGTTTCTAAAGTTGAGTAGTTGTTATCATTCTTTCCAGTATTGATGGGAGTTTCCTTCCTAACCTTTTATTTGAAGTCATGTGGAATGTCAACATCTTGATTATTTTCTCTTTGAGTTAACATGTGCTATCCATTTTAGTTGTTGCTGCTCTTGGTAGTCCTTGAGTGATGGGTTTTCTGTTATTTGTTACAGTTCTTTGAGATTCTGTAGTGCGAGTCCACAAAGTTTGAAGAAGTATGGTCATCACCAAAATCCGTAGGCTTTACACACTCAAGGCCATTTATAACCATTGATCCAAGAAAGTAATCTTATACAGCTAACAGTATAGATATTTTAACCTGTTTGATGCCATGGATGACATCAATATGAAGGTCTGGGTCTGATGAAGCTATTTAAGAACATGATTCAAGTTTTCAGGTTGATGCTTTTTTTGTAGCAGTTGGGCAAAACTGCCTCTAATGCAGCCCATTCTATGTTCATTTTCCTTTTCTCCTATACTAAGTTTAGTAAAGCTGATCCATCCAGTAAGGTATCTGAAGTGTTTGGTATTTACCAATTCCACTTCTATGAAGGATTCAATATAAGTGTCATCACTGCTTTTATTCCAATTCCAGATCATAGTTTGTGTTGTGGAAAGGTTTATATTGTGTTCAATTTCTTGGGACACTTAGCAGATGATGTTTCCATTTTTATGATGGATTCATGGTAGATGCCGTCACTGCTTTCATTCCAATTTCAAATCATAGTTTCTGTTTGGAAAGGTTTAGCTTAAGTCCTATTTCTTAGAACACTTAGAAGAGGATGTTTTCCTTTTGATGATGGATTTAGGGTAGGTGCCATGACTGTTTTCATTCCAATTCCAGATCATAGTTTCTGTTTTAGGACAGTTTATCTTAAGTCCTATTTCTTAGAACATTTGATAGACAATATTTTCATTTTGATGATGGATTCAGGGTAGGTGCCATCATAGCTTTCATTCCAAATCCAGATAATTATTTCTGCTTTGGAAAGGTTTATCTTGAGTCTTATTTCTTGGAACAATTGGTAGAGGATGTTGATTTTCCATTCAAGATCACTCTTATTTACACTATTAACATTGTTCAGACTGTTGTCCTCATCTTTGTTGCCATATTCACAAAGTTCCTGTATTTTGCTTTAATTCATTTCATTTTATATTAAGTCAAATATCAGTGGAAAAGTTGTGTTCCTTCTATAATCAAGTGGGTCTATGGTGTAAAGTAGAATATTTACCGATTAACGTAAACGTTGATTTTTAAATCTCCGTTCTAATTTATAATGAAAATTTGTTTTTGTTTTTATACAAAAATTTCAGCTTTTTCACATCTAAAAAAAATAACATTTTTAATTACATTTTCTAAATAGGATGTTGATTTGCATGATGAAAATGTTTGGATAGATGGTTCGTTATTAACAACAGCTATTTTTTCAAATATGCCAGAGGTAGTCAAACTTACTTAATGTAAGAGCCACATACAATAAAATTCAGATGTCTGAGAACTGCAAGACATGAACAAAATTTACATGTGCATTTTTGTTAAACATTAAAATTATGCTTTAATTCAATAGGGTCTCAATTCATACCCATTAAATAATCATAAATCTTGAATTTTTTCTCATTCACCTTTTGTATTAAGTGTCATGAAAAAAGGAATGCAGCCAACATATCTCCATGAACCGCATATTAAAGATCAAAGTGCCACATGTGCACCATGAGCCACGGTTTGGTGACATGTTTCTGAGTTTTTTGAAATTTTGTTTTGAATTCTCATGAGGGACTCACAGTTAATCTAAAAAGGTCACCACATAACTATTAACCTGTTGAAAATCTGTAGAAGAAAGTATTGTATCATTATGTTAAATTATATCAATGAAGGGCACTAATGGTTCACCTGTGTTGAGAATCTTACTTTACATGATAAAGTTTGGATGTTTGAGAGCTGAAAGACCTGAACAAAATTTATCCATACGTTTTTGTTACATACACATTAACATTACGTTTTAATCCAATGGTGGTATCAATCTATACCCAGTAATTAATTATAAAGCTTCACATTTTTCTTATTTGTTTTTTATATTAACTTTGATGAAAAAAGCTCAGCCAACATATATCCACGAACCACGTATTAAAGGTCAAAGTGCCACATGTGCCTCGCAATCCGCGGTTTGGTAACATTTTCTGGGTTCTTTGAAAATTTGTATTGAATTTTCATAGGGGACTTACAGTTAATCTAAAGAGGTCTACACATAACTATTAATCTGCTGTAAAACGTGTAATAGAAATTATCGTATCATTATGTTAAATTATATCAATGAAGAGCACTAGCTGTGTTGAAAATCTTACTTTAAATTTTCTAGAACTCATGGGAGCCAAGTTTCTTGTTTCCAACCTTGGCTTCAACTGCTGGAATGCAGAACTGCTTTTTAACATTTTCCAAGACTTTTTGCACTGACTGCAAGCAGTTATGAACAGGCCGGTGTGTACTTCCCCAAAACCCTCAACTGGGAATAAGGCAAACCCGATTGGAGGCTCCGGGAAGTGCTTTGTGACCATCGCTATCTTGTCAACGTGATTCTTTCTACCTGCATTTATATATGTTACAAATTAAAATGACCTACAACTTACTATAAAAAGATGAAAAAGTTTTGGCTGACATCATTCTGGGGTCTTTTTTTTTTTTTTTTGTCCAAATCCATGAATTTGTTTAACTAATGCTAAGTCTTGAAAAAAAAATACTATATAAAAGTCACTATTTTTGATCCATAATGTTGAATGGGTTAAAATTATTCCACTTTTTACCAAGAAAAATCACATTGTTCATTTATTTAAGATGGAAGGATCTAATACAGGTGTGGCCAAACTCGCTTAACGTAAGAGCCACATATGATAAAGTTTGGATGTTTGAAAGGTGCACTCACTTCCCCGACAACCCCAAATCTTTAATCCCCTCACCCTCTGAACTCAGTCTTCTCACATTTCTCTTTAACCCTTGTTGACTGGAAATTTCTTTAATCCCTCTGGTTCCCACCATTCCTTCCCTCAACACCAAAGAACAATGACTCACCTCAAATCTAGTATCAAAATTAGAATTTAAATTCTTAAATATTTTTACTATGAACATTTAAACTTACATTTTAATCTAATGAGGTCTCAATTCATACCCAGTAAATAATTATTTGAAATTTTACTTATTTACCTTTTATATTAACTGTGATGAAAAAAGAGGCCCAACCAAGAGATTTCCATGAGCCGCACATTAAAGGTCAAAGAGCCGCACATTAAAGGTCAAAGAGCCGCATATGGCTAGCGAGCCGCAGTTTGGCCACCGCTGGTAGAGGTTGAACTTATTTTTCTAAAGGCAAATACATTAACTAAATCCAGAATAAAAATACATAGCGAACAAACACAAAGCCGACATGAAAAGAATATTTTAAAAAGGAAAAACGGAAAATGTCTAAAAAAAAAAGACTTTTTACAAAGGGTAACATTTAATCCAATGGGGTCTCATTTCATACCTAGCAAATAATTATATACCTTGAAATTTTTCTCGTTCAACTTTTATATTAACCGTGATGAAAAAAAGAGATCAGCCACTGTATTTCCACAAGCCATATATTAAAGGTCAAAGAGCCGCACTTGACTTGTGAGCCATGGTTTGGCCATCATCTAATATGACATGTCTCTAATTCATATTTAGATACATTGTATTTATTTTCAGTTTTTCTAGTTGAATTGTTAATTGTGATGAAAAAAAGATCAGCCAACACATATCCAGAGCTACATATTAAAGGTCAAAGAGACATTACTGCAATATGCAGTGGTATTGGGATATGTCTACCACGAATAACTGTTTATCCATATTTTTACACTTACAAGGAATGTGGACATGTCTGGATGTGTGTTTAGTTGGTGTACAGAGATGTTGGGAAGACACGGTAGGAAGAGAGAAAGAAAATCAAGAACATACGTTATTTTCAAAATGCCAGTCCTTCATCTTGAGTCAAGTCGTCTCTGTTTTTGCAAAAGAAATTACAAAATAAAACAAAACTGATTTATTCACAACCTAATCTTCTGTTTTTTTTTTTTGTTTTTTCTTTTGTGGTACAAAGAAGTCTATTGCGATTTTGCAGTTCTAATTCATCTTGATACTCTCTCTCTCTCTCTCTCCATCTACACCACATCCTCCCTTTCCTCTTCTCTGTCTTCTCCATTCCTCTTGTTGAACCAGTATGGACACCTCATTCAAGCACATACAGAAGCGTCCAGCATCAAGGAATGGCGGTCGACGGATCGGCTTATCTGAATTTATAAATCCCCGTGGAGTCTCAGTTGCAACACTTTTGTTAGATCGAGTCCATTAACATCAGCGATTTCCACAGATAGAATCTGCAAGAGCAGGCGGTGGACATTAGCACTGTCTAGTAGCAGTAAAGTGGTGAAGATGAGAAGGGAAGAGAAGAGAACGAGAGACTGGAAGTTGTTTTAAGCCAGACTGAAAGCAAGAATGTGTATTCGAAAGAGCAAAGAAAAGAGAGCGAGAGACGAGAGAGAAAGATCGATATTGAGGGTGGAGTGAAGAACGGGTGGAGACATTTCAAGGGTAGATTTATGGACAAGAAAAAAAAAGAGGAAAAGTAGGGATTGATTTTGTGCAGATGAGGAGGCAATGAATGGAGAAATCTTTTTGCGGAAGAAGATGTAAAGAAAAGGAAGAAAAAAATAATGTAAATGAAGAAGTTACTGAATGTATGAAGGAGTAGGGCGAAGAGTGAAGAATTAAAAACAGAAGAAGTAGAAGGGAAAGAAGTGAAAGAGTGGGAAGGGAAAGAGAAGAAGAAGAAGAAGAAGAAGAAGAAGAAGAAGAACAACAACAACAACAACAACAACAACAACAACAAGAATGGAAGAAAAGAAAAAAAGTAAAGAAGAAGAAGAAGAAGAAGAAAAGAAGAAGAAGAAGGTAAGAAAAGAAGAAGAAAGAAGAAGAATAATAAGAAGAAGAAAAGAAGAAGAAAAAGAAGAAAAGAACAACAACAAGAAAAGAAGAAGAAGAAGAAGAAGAAGAAGAAGAACAACAACAAAAACAAGGAGAAGAAGAAGAAACAAAAAAGAGTAAAGAACAAGGCTTTAAGAAGAAGAAGAAGAAGAAGAACAACAACAAACAAGAATGGAAGAAGAAGAGAATGAAGAAAAAAGAAGATACTGAAAAAAGAAGAAGAAGAAGAAGAAAAGAAAAGAAGAAGAGGACTAAACAACAGGGGAAAAAGAAGAAGAAGAAGAAGAAAGAAAGAACAAGAACAAGAAGGAAGAAGAAGAAGAAGAAGAAGAACTTTGAAAAAACAAGGAGAAGAAGAAGAAGAGAAGAAGGAAAAAGAAAAGGAAGGGTAAGAAGAAGAAGAAGAAGAAGAAGAAGAAGAACAACAACAAGAACAAAGAAGAACGAGAAGAAGGAAGAAGAACTTTGAAGAAGAAGAAGAAAAACAAAAAAAGAAAAGAAGAATTAGCTTTTAAAAGAAGAAGAAGAAGAAGAAGAACAACAACAACAACAAGAAGGAAAATGAGAATGAAGAAAACAAGAACAAAAAAGAAGAAGAAGAAGAAGAAAAGAAAAAAAAACAACAAGAGGAGGAAAAAGAAAAAAAGAAGAAGAAGAAGAAACAACAACAACAAGAAGAAGAAAGAAGAAGAAAGAAGAAAAGAAAAAAGAAAAAAAAAAGAAAAAGAAGAAGAAATTTAAAAAGAAGAAGAAGAAGAAGAAGAAGAAGAAGAAGAAGGAAGAACAATGAAACAAAAAAAAGAAAGAAGAAGAAAAAAAAAAAGAAAAAGAGAAAAAAGAAGAAGAAGAAGAAGAACAAAAACAACAACAACAAGGAAGAAAGAAGAAGAAGAAGAAGAAAAAGAAGAAGAAGAAAAAGAAAAGAAGAAGAAGAAGAAGAAGAAGAAGAAGAAGAAAAAGAAGAAGAAGAAGAACAACAACAAAGAAGAAGAAAAGAAGAAGAAAAGAGAAACAACAAAGAAAAAGAAGAAAAAGAAGAAGAAGAAGAAGAACAAAGAACAACAAGAAGAAGAAGAAGAAGAAGAAGAAAACAAGAAGAAAAAGAAGAAGAAGAAGAAGAAGAAGAAAAGAAAAAGGAAGAAGAAAAAGAAGAGAAGAGAAGAAAAAGAAGAAGAAGAACAACAACAGAAAAAAAGAAAAGAAGAAGAACGAAAAGAAGAAGAAGAAGAAAAGAAACAAGAAAGAAAGAAGAAGAAGAAGAAGAAGAAAAAGAGGAAGAAGAACAACAAAAGAAAAAGAAGGAAGAAAAAAGAAGAAGAAGAAGAAGAAGAACAACAACAGAAGAAGAAGAAGAGAAGAAGGAAGAAGACGTGGCATGAAAAAGAAAAGTGAATAAGAAAACAAAAGAAAAGAAAAGAAGAAGAACTTTAAAAAGAAGAAGAAGAAGAAGAAGAAGAAGAAGAAGAAGAAGAAGAAGAAGAAGGAAACAGAACAAACTGAAAAAGAAGAAGAGTGAGAAAGAAAAAAGAAAAGAAAAGAAGAAGAAGAAGAAGAAGAAGAAGAAGAAGAAGAAGAAAGAACAACAACAAGAAGGAAGAAGAGAAGAATGAAGGAAAGAATAAAAAAAAAAAGAATCGAGAAGAAGAAAAAGAAAGAAAAAAAAAAAAGGAACTATTTGCTTTTAAAAAGAAGAAGAAGAAGAAGAAGAACAACAACAACAACAAGAAGAAGAAGGAAGAATGAAGAAGAAGGAAAGATTACGTGGAAGAAGAAGAAAACAAGGATAAGAAAAAGAAAAGAAAGGAAGAAGAAGAAGAAGAAGAAGAAGAAGAAGAACAACAACAACAACAACAAAGAAGAAGAAGAAGAAGAAGAAAAGAAGACTTTGAAAAAAAAGAAGAAGAAGAAGATAAGAAAAAGAAAAGAAAAGGGACTATTGCTTTAAAAGAAGAAGAAGAAGAAGAAGAAACAACAACAACAAGAAAGAAGATGAAAAACAAGAGAAAAAAAGAAGAAGAGAAGAAGAAGAAAAAGAATAAATGGAAGAAGAAAAGGGAAGAAGAAGAAGAAGAAGAAGAAGAACAACAACAACAGAAAGGGAAGAAGAAGAAGAAGAAGAAAAAAAAGAACTTTGAAGAAAGAAAGAAGAAGAAGAAAATAAGAACAAAGAAAAAAAAAAAGGGAAGAAGAAGAAGAAGAAGAAGAAGAACAAGAAGAAAAGAAGAAGAAGAAGAAGAGAAGAAGAATGAAAAAACAAAGTGGAAGAAAAAAGAAGAAGAAAAGAGAAGAAAAAGAAGAGGAAGAAAAAGAAGAGGAAGAAAAAGAAGAAGAAGAACAAGAAACAAAAAGAATGAAGAAGAAGAAGAAGAAGAAGGCTGAAGAAGAAAGAAGAAAGGAGGAAGAAGAAGAAAAAAGAAGAAGAAGAAGAAGAAGAAGAACAACAACAACAAGGAAGAAGAAGAAAGAAGAAGAATGAAGGAAGTAAGAAGAAAAAAGAAAGAAGAAGAAGAAGAAAAAAAAAGGGAACAAGAAAAGAAGAAGAAGAAGAAGAAGAAGAGGAGGTAAGAAGAAGAAGGGAAGAAGAAGAAAAGAACAACAACAACAACAACAAAAAAGAAGAAGAAAGAAGAAAAAGAAAAAGAAGAAGCTTTTAAAAGAAGAAGAAGAAGAAGAACAACAACAAAAGGAAGAACAAGAAGAAGAAGAAGAAAGGACTGAAAAAACAAGAAGATAAGAACAAAGAAGAAGAAGAAGAAGAAGAAGAAGAAAAAACAAGAAGAAGGAAGAACGAGAAGAAGGAAGAAAAAAAAAAGAATCGAAAGAAGAAGAACAAGAAGAAGAAGAGGAAGAAGAAAAAAAGAAGAAGAAGAACAACAAGAAACAAAGAAGAAGAGAAGAACAGAACAAAGAGGATTAAAAAAGAAGAAGAAGAAGAAGAAGAAAAGAACAACAACAAAAAAAGAAGAAGAAGAAGAAGAAGAAGAAGAAGAGGAAGAAGAAGAAGAGTGAAGAAGAAGAAAGAAGAAGAAGAAAAAGGGAACAACAACAACAAGAAAAGAAGAGAAAAAAGAACAACAAGAACAAAAAGAAAGAAGAAAAGAAGAAGAAGAAGAAGAAGAAAAGAACAACAACAAGGGAAGAAGAAGAAGAAGAAAAAACAGAAAAGAAAGAAGAAGAAGAAGAAGAAGAAGAAGAAGAAGAAAGAAGAACAACAAAAGAAGAAGAAGAAGAAGAAGAAGAAGAACAACAACAAGAAAAAGAAGAAGAAGAAGAAGAAAGAAGAAGATTAAAAGAAATGGAAAAACAAGAAAAAAGAAGAAGAAGAACAAGAAGAACAAAAAGAAGAAGAAGAAGAAGAAGAAGAAGAAGAAGAAGAAGAACAAAACAAGAGGAGAAGAAGAAGAAGAGAAGAAGAAAAAGAAACGTGGCTGAAAAAGAATCGAGTAGAAGAAGAAGAAGAAGAAGAAGAAAAGAACAACAACAACAGAATGAAAAAGAAGAAGAAGAAGAAGAAGAACAACAACAACAAGGAAGAAGGAGAAAAGAAGAAGAAAAAGAAGAAGAAGAAAAATAAAAAAAAAAAAAGAAGAAGGAGAAGAAAAAAAGAAAAGGAACAAAAGACTTTGAAGAAGAAGAAGAAGAACAAGAAGAACAAGAACAAGAGAAGAAGAAAAGAAAGAAAAGATTACAAAGAAGAAAAAGAAGAAGAAGAATAAGGAACAAAAAAAAGAAAAGGGAAGAAGAAGAAAAAAAGAAGAAGAAGAAGGAGAACAAGAAAAGAAAGAAGAAGAAGAAAGAAGAAGAAGACTTTTAAAAAAAAGAAGAAGAAGAAGAAAAGAAGGAAAAATAAGGGAAAAAAAAGAAGAAGAAGAAGAACAACAACAACAAAAAAAGAAGAAGAAAGAAAGAAGAACAAGAAAAAAAAAAAAGAAAGAAAAAGAAGGAAATGAAGAAGAAGAAAAACAAGAAGAAAAGAAGAGGAAAAAAGAAGAAGAAGAAGAAGAGAAAAGGGAAAAAAAAGACTTAGAAGAAAGAAGAAGAAGAAGAAGAAGAAGAAGAAGAAGAAACAACAAGAAGAAGAAAGAAGAAGAAGAAGAAGAAGAAAGAAAAGAAGGAAGAAGAAGAAGAAGAAAAAACAAAGAAAAGAAAAAGAAGAAGAAGAAGAAGAAGAAGAAGAAAAAAACAACAAAAGAAGAAGAAGAAGAAGAAGATATCTGCTTGAAAAAGAAGAAGAGATAAAGAAGAAAAAGAACAAGAAAGAAGGAAGAAGAAGAAAAGAAAGAAGAAAAAGAAGAAGAAGAACTGAAAAAGAAGAACAAAGAAGAAGAAAAGAAAAGGGGGTAAAAGGGACTTTTAAGAAGAAGAAGAAGAAGAAGAAGAAGAACAACAAGAACAAGAAGGAAGAACGAAGAAGAAGAAGAAAAGAAGAAGAAGTTGAAAAAGAATCGAGTGAGAAGACACAAAAAAAAAGAAAAGGAAGAAGGGCTTTTAAAGAAGAAGAAGAAGAAGAAGAACAAAACAAGAAACAAAGAACGAGAAGATTAAGAAGAAAAACAAGAAGAAGAAGAAGAAGAAAAAACAAACAAAAGAAAAAAAAGAAGAAGAAGAAACGAAGAAGAAGGAAGAAGAAAAACAAAAAAAAGAAAAGAATATGAAAAAGAAGAAGAAGAAGAAGAAGAAAAAGAATTAAAGAAGAAGAACATAAACAACAAGAAGAAGAAAGAAGAAGAAGAAGAAGAGAAAAGAAAAAAAAAGAAGAGGATAAGAGACAAAAAAAAAGAAAAGGGAAAAACAAAGAAGAAGAAGAAGAAGAAAGAACAACAAGAAGAAAGGAAGAACAAGAATGAAGGAAAGAATAAAAAAAAAGAATCGAGTGATAAAACAGAAAAAAAGAAAAGAGGACTAAGCTTTAAAAGAAGAAGAAGAAGAAGAAGAAGAAGAACAACAACAAAGAAGGAAGAACGAGAATGAAGGAAAGATTAAGAAGAAAAAGAAGAGATGAGAAGAAGAAAAAGAAAGAAAAATAACTAAAAGGAAAAAGAAGAAGAAGAAGAACAACAACAACAAGAAGAAGAAGAACGAGAATGAAGAAGAAGAAAAAGAAGAAAAGAATGATAAAAGAAAAAAAAATGGGGGGAAGGAGGAAAAAAGAAGAAGAAGAAGAAGAAGAAGAACAAGAACAAGAAGGAAGAAGAGAATGATGAAGAAGAAAAGAAAAAGAAGAAGAGAAGAAAAAACAAGGAAAAAGAAAAGGAGAAAGAAAAAAGAAGAAGAAGAAGAAGAAGAAGAACAACAACAACAAGAAGGAAAAACGAGAAATGAAGGAAAGATTAAGAGAAAAAAAAGAATCGAAGATAAGGAGACAAAGAAAAGAAAAGGGACTATTCGCTTTAAAAAAAGAAGAAGAAGAAGAAGAAACAACAACAACAACAAGAATTATGAACGAGAAAGAGAGAAAGATTACTTTGTTTGAAAAAGAGGAGTGATAAGAAAGAAAAGAAAAAGAAAGGGACTATTCTGAAAAAAAAAAAAGAAGAAGAACAAGAACAACAATTAATGGAGAAGATGAAAAAAAAACAATAAAGAAGAAAGAACAAGAAAAGAAAAGAAGACGTTCAAAAAGAAAAAGAACGGAGGATAAGACACAAAAAAAAAGAAAGGGAATTAGAAGAAAAAAGAAGAAGAAGAAGAAAAAGAAACAACAACAAGAAAGAAGACAGAGAGAGAAGGAAAGATTAAGAATGAAAAAGAAAAAGAGATAAGACAAAAAAAAAAGAAGAAGAAGAAGAACTTTTAAAAAAGAAGAAGAAGAAGAAAGAACAACAAACAAGAAGGAAGAACGAGAATGAAGGAAAGATAGAAGAAAAAGAATCGGGAAAGAATAAGAAGAAAAGAAAAGAAAAGGACTATTCGCTTTAAAAAAGAAAAGAAGAAGAAGAAGAAGAAGAAGAACAACAACAAGAAGGAAGAATCTTAGAAAGAAAAGAAAGAAGAAAAAAGAAGAAGAGAAGAGAAGAAAAGAAGAAAGAAAGGCTGAAAAGACGGAAGAAAGGAAAAAAGAAAAGGAATTCATAACTATTGAAGTAAAAGAAGAAGAAGAAAAAAACAACAACAAAGAAGAAGAAGAGAAAAAGGAAAGATAAACGTGGCTGAAAAAAGAATGAATAAAAAAAGAAAAAAAAAAAATTATCTTGAAAAAGAAGAAAAAAAAAGAAGAAAACAACAAAAACAAGAAGGAAGAACGAGAATGAAAAAAAGATTAAAAATTGAAAAAGAATCGATTGATAAGACACAAAAGAAAGAAAACAGTAACTATTCTGCTTAAAAAAGAAGAAGAAGAAGAAACAAAAAAAAAACAATGGTAGATCTCCGACAAAGCCGGAAGTAATGTAATCCCGCCTCAGAATTCTGAAAACATGAAAAAAGGAAAATAACAACAACAACAATGTTAGAAGCAGATGCAAATAGTTCATCCTCCAGGGATGGTAGAAGATGGTTTTCAGAAGAAAGGCAGAAAAAAATAAAAAAACTGGAGAAGAAACAGTGCATTAAGATGCCGATTTTAATGTATCCGTTATTCTTCTTATAGGAGTTCATTAAAACACCAATGATTTGAGCGGCTTGAAAATTCGTAATATAATATATAGTAGTAATAGAAGTAAATCTTCTTGAAAAAAAGCAATTTCGCTTAGAACGAAGAAAATTTTAAATGAAGTAGTAGTAGTAATAGAAAATTAGAAACAACTTAGTAACATGACAAAATGAATAAGAGAAGAAAACTGCAAAAATGGAATAGAGGGAGTTAGTAGAAGATATACTATCGTTATCAAGAAGAAATTAAAAACGTTTAATTTAGAAAAGAAGAAAAAAATTTTCAATCAGTTAACATAGAATTTTAACGAAGAAGAAGACAAGTCTTGACAAAAATGGTATTTATAGAAAAAAGCAACCGGAATAATTGTTTTTTCAAGAAGAAGAAAATAATGTCAAAGAAACGGACAGACGAGATGACCGTCTTCTGAAGAAAAATATTATAACCCCTTGTTAATATTTCCAAAAAGAAGATAGGAATATATATATAGGAGATAGAAGGTATATTTGGTTGAACTGATGTGTTTAAAGACCGTAGTTTCAGAAATTGCGAAAAGGAGAAGGAAAGACAAAAGCATACATTGTAAAAGAACCGGAAACCAATTAAAGAGAATATATAAATAATTATATAATATATATATATTTGGTAGGTATATATATATATATATATATATGCTTTCAGAACACACGAGTTTGATAAACCTCCGAAAAGTGATGCTAAAAATTAAATTAAATGAAATAAGGGAAAAGAACCTTGAAGATTGTGGTTTCTCCGTCCTATTGGGAAAATAAAAACAAAAGCATAAAATGCCGGATTTAAAAAGAAGAAAAAGAACTGTGGTGGTATAAAAAAAGGAAAAAAGAATAAAAAACAAGGGACGTCTGAAAAGGAAAGAAAGAATCCCAATCAGTGAAAAGAAAAGAAAGAAAAGAAAGGAAAGAAATGGAAATAGACAAAGGGTAAGAAAAAATAAAAACTCCAGATGCTTTGGATATAAAAAAAAAAAAAGAAAAGATAGAGGATATAGGAAATATATCTGTGTGTCTAATGTGTGTTTCATGAAGGTGTTAAAGGAATATAAATATAAAGATATATATAAAATATATAATCATTAATTTTTCTTGCATACACTAATTTATATCAAAATAACATTTTGTTAAAATGCCTTGAGGTGGAGTAAAGGGATAAGGAGAAATGAGAATTTATTAGACATTGGTAATTATTATTATTGGATAATCTTAGTTTAAAGGATTATTAATAGTCAGGGTCAATAAATTTCTTGGTACATAAAATGGACTATCACCTCCAAGAGACAGAAATATCTTGATTATTACTGTTAAAAATGTTACGAACGTGGTCAACTAAAAAAGAAATCGAATCACCAAAGAAAAAGTAAACAAGGACAAAATTACATTTCAACAGCTTAAACAAAGAAACCATCCAGAAAAAATGAAAATATGTTTGAGGTTACAAAAATGTTACCTTAAAATTTAATTGAATAAATTATTCAATTAATGTATAAGTTATTTTAGTAAAGTAACATATTAGATGTAAATGAGATGTCAGTGTTAACTATTCCCCACAATAACGATGTTGGTAATAAAGGAAACTAAAAAAATAACACTTATGTTAAAAAGCTATTCCTAATATTTGATGTAGACCTCAACTTATCTCAACAACAAAATTCAATGAACTTTATTTGATGGTTAAATATATTGTTTGTTGGAAAAATGAGAACCTTTATAAGAATAAAACAAAAAATATTATTAAAAAAATTTCTACTTTTAAAAAACCACTGTCTTTTAGAAATAAAAAAAAAATACTAAGGGATTTTGCCGGCAACATTCAGCGTTAAATTTAGTATTTTGAACACACAATTTGAACACAGTAATTTGAATTTTAGGTAATCGGGACGTTGATGCAGAAATGGGGACGATTTTTATGCGGGGGATCAATAAAAGTGTTCCATAGAGCTCGATATATTTATCCATAAAATAATGAATTCACCACAATTTAATAAAAATGTACAGGCAATGATATCCGATAGTTACGCATACCGTTTACAAGAGACAGGAATAGCCCGTTGGGGAAGATGTTAGAAATTCGGTTTGAATTCACCTCATTCGATTGTTGACGTTGTTTTATCAAAGACAAAGATAATTTATATATATATATAACTTTGTTTACTATAGGGCATATATTATTTTATTTTTGTTAAAAAAAATAGGTAGGAGTATGAAAAAACTTATCTATGAATTAAATCAATAGGAAATATAAATAGAAAATTTATATATATATATATATATATATATATGTAAAATTGTTAGATGAAAAATTTAATTTTATTTCAAGGGAATTAAAAAATTAATATATATATATATATTTTTATATTTATGAATCCGGTGTATGTATGACAGTATGTATGTATGTATATAAAAAGTTAAGACTGACTTCATACCTCAGCGGCGACAGTTCGTTAAATACACTTGTTTCACAACGTTCTGTCCTTTTGTTGATTTTCTTAAATTTTACCATTGTTGAAGATCAACGTTGATTATAAAAGGAAAATTGACGATTGCGTCTAGCATTAAACATTTTTAGTTTTACATACGCCCCATAATGTGAATTTATATTATCCATGTGAGTGTCAAAAGTACGTCTTTTAAATCTATGCTCCTATATATAAATATATATAATATATATATATATAGAGAGAGAGATATATATATATACTGATATATAGAGAGTTATATATATATATATATATATATCCATAGAACCCTTCTTATTGAATTCAGTCTCAGTGTCTTAACACAGGTGATGAGATTGGGCAGTCTGAACCTAATCACTATAACCGTTCGTTATATATTCGAGGTTTCTTATATTTCAATTTTGAAGAGCAACAATCCATATATATAGATATATATATACAATATGCATAAAACACATCAATATATATGTATATATATGTTATATAGTTGTCTTAGTTAGAACAATCCTAAAACAAACTGTCGCCACTCAAGCATATAAAAATATCAATTATGTCATTCCTTACTGCATAATGTTACTCAGTTTCATGTTCTTAGCAATTTATCAAGCATATATATATCAAAAATTATTTTAGAAATTTTTTAACATTAAAGAAATGAATAAAACAAAGGAAAACATCTTAGCCAACACGTTTTTTTGTCCGGGGGGACTTTATCAAAAAAGAACAAATTCAACATCTGTTTTATCAGAAATTGTCCCTTTCAGACATATGCTATCTAGAAAAATTTTCCAAAATTAAATAAAGAAAAAAAAATTTTTTTTTTTTTACAGGATATTTTTTTTAAAACACAAAAAGATTTAAAATATTTTTTTCTTTTGAATAATAAGAACCATTTCTTGAATCTCTTGCAATCAAACGAAACTATAAATCATGTTGAAATATTTCATATAAACAAAGACCATATAAACATATATAGGATCTGTACAAAAAAAAAAACTAAAACAATCACATAAAGGGCACAACTATGCATGGGTTTCCTGGCATAATGGGCTCGATTAGGAATTCAAAAACCGGCTTTGACACTCAAAATTCAAGCCACCAACTATTTTTTATCCAGAATGCAATGTTTACAGCAAATAACAAATATGTTGTATTTTACTGAGTTGAGAATTATGTTAAAGAACAGAGCGAACAGGTTGGTAGGTGACAAAAAAAAATTATTTAATTTTAGAACTTAAATCAATTAAAATTAAAAAAAAATTGGATATGGAATTCTTGTAAACACTGCTTTTGAAAATGTTTTGAATAGAATTTGCCCTATGAAAATGCTTGAACAAGATGATTAAATAGGTAAATATTATTTTGAAGACAAAACTTTTCCAAACCCCTCCATAATAAATAACATCAATTCCGCTTTTTGATTTTACTTCATTCTCATTTAATATTTGATTCTGACTTTTAATGTTCTTTAACATCAGTTTTTTTTAAGAAATGTAATTTTAATTGTGGTTCGGTGGACAACCCAACTGCCATCATCTAGAAAATAATCCTCTTATTTTATTTTCCTCTAGTAATGCCAATGATCAAACTGTTTTGCCTTGCTTTTATTTTTCAAATTAACTAACTTTATCATCGCCTTTCTGAAACTAGTATAAATGTTTAAAAGAATATAAAATAGTTTCTTTTTTTTTTTTTTTTATATTCAATAAAACATAATTAAATTAGGCGATATTCAGGTCAACATTGAAACAAAATTAAAACAAATACTTGCATATTTGATTTTGTTTTTCCATATTTTTCTTATACTGTCGGATCTATATCCACATAGACATATAAGTAAATTTCTAATTATTTTCAGTTTGCATCTTTTTTTTTTTTTTTTATTTGACAATTTTATTTTATTGTTTTTTTTTATTTTTTACTACTTCTGATAATTATCAGTTGGGGAGATGAAACTTGAAAAACGTAAAACAGTAAAAGGAAAAAAAACAAAACCGGAAAGAATAATTACCTTCTGAGTATGCTAGTATTTCAAAAAAAAAAAAACAAAATAAAAAATCCCCATAAACAATTAAATAGAGTTGACACCATTGCGTCAATGTTGTTGGTCAACTTTCCAAATCAAATGTGACAGAGGGGTATGATTTGCCTATAATATAAGTCAGTGTCTTCAGGCTGTCAATTTAGGGGGGTCGCATCAGAGACTGATCAGCTCTGATGGGTGTCAACTTGGTGAGGGAGTGATAATGTTTGAAAGAACCATAAACTGCCCAATGACCCAATTCAGAATACACACTGACACACCCTTTAGGCACTAAATAGTGTGTGTATATATATATATATATATATATGAGATTCATTTAATAGGGTAATTCGATACATGGTGATAAAGAACTAATTAATAATTCAGTCCACTGGCTTTTTGTCAAAAATGTCATGGTGTACTCTGACTTTAACCAGTTAGTGCTAATGGTAAGCTGCTATCAGAAAATTGAGAGTGCTTGTCTTCTTTGGGTATGACCAGTCCTACCCAACCCCCAAACCCAAAAGAAGAGAGACAAGAGAGACATTTTTTACCAAAATAACCTTTTTTTAAATCAAATACTTACTTTTGTTGATCTTGTTTTACTAAAAAACATTCCAAAACCTGAGTGTCCATCTCCTGCCCTGTAACAATAGCTTCACCATCAGGAGACATTGCCCTGTATGATGGAAGAAAAGAGAGAGAGAGAGAGAGAGTTAGGACAATAGTATCACAGTTATCATTAACAAGCATTGAAACAAAAATTAACATATATAGTATCACTTGTTGTTATTATTAAAGCATTGAAAGAGGGAAGCTTTTGTCCTTTTAAATGCAGCTCAGTTAATATTGAAAGGAAAAAAGAACTTTTTTTTTTGGTTTTACCATCCTTCCCAAAAATTGTTGCCTCTATCTCTAAAAGTATTATTTTTAGACTGAAACAAAATTACGATGATGTATGAAGGAACAATGATTTTATGACAAACAGAACAGTGGATCGCTTATTATTTATGAACAAAAGATAATCAAAGACATTGGTGCAATTGTTTTTTTGTTTTTTGTTTTTTTTTTTTCCCTAAGCATTGGCAAAACAAAACAAATGAAAAATAAAGAAAACAGACATTGTCTGGCAAATAAGTAGGACATTCAGCAGAAAAGAAAATATCTGGATGACAGCACAAGGAGACTAGGAGATGACAACAATATTGACTTCCTTCCACCTGCAGAAAGAAGCCAAAATTTGCAAATGTTCTAAATGAAACAAGTGACTGAAAAAAATTTGTTTTTAATTTTAATATGTACACAAAGAAAATCTGATATAAACTATAACTAAATTTTATAAAAACTTTTATTGGAAACTATAACAATGAAAATAATAAAATATCCAATATTAATTATAACAATCAAAAATTAAAACAATATAAGAATTAAAATAATTAAAGGATAATTAAAATCTGAAAGTGATATTGTTAATCAATAGTTCCTTCCACAAAAGCTGATCAGAATTGAAGAAAAGAAAAAGAACCTATAACAAAAGAAGAAAGAAAAACACCTATAAATTATTTGAGTGTATATATATATATATATCACTGGCACGTGTGTATTGATATTTCTATTTAAATAATATAGACAAGTTTTGTCTATTTTATGATATATATATACACACACACACGTGTGTGTGTATTTTCATTGTATAGATAAGTTTTGTCTAACGTTATCTTTTAAAATTGTCTAAAGAAAATCACAAAATTGATATCTTTTAATCCTATCTAAGCTTAGCTTACATAAGTCATTATCCAAAAATGACAACCCATCACAATATATTAAACAATACACAGACAAAACAATAATGATAGTCTGTTTTGTTTACATGGAAGATTTCAAGCAACGACAAACTCGTGCATATGTATGTATGTATATAATTACAAGGTTTGAATAAGCAGCCTAAAATAGTCTGGCCAATATCTAGCCTTATATAATTTTTTTTTTTTCCATTTAGATCATATGGCTGGATGATCTACCCTCCCCACTGTGCAAGTTTGGTTAGCTTGTCAAATTGTACTGCCTGGTGGTATATGGTGGTATATAAGGAAGATTGTGTGCAAACACCTGGAAACTTAAAGTAGTGACCAGTCATTTACTTGGTTATTGAATATGTGTGTGTGTGTAGAGAGTATATAGCTACCTGTTGTGTGCAAACATACTTAAAAAGTGACCAGTCAGATAGAAACCTGTATATATATATATATATATATATATATATATATGATGGACTTATTGTGAAATTTTCAACATATAATAATCCTTAAAAAATTACATATATTAATAATTATTAGAGCTCCGTTATATTACAGAAAACACTAGTTTAACACCCGGTTCTCAGTGTGCAATATATCTTATTTTATTTATATATATATATATATATTCCAAGGTTTGAATTAAACCTCTAAACAGAGTCTTCCAAAAATTAGCCTTCTGGCATATGCCATAAAATGACAGAGCATTTAAAAAAATTCAATAATTGGCATTTAAATAGTTTAATTCAATAAAACCAGGAGATGTAACTTACCGTAATAAGATGATTGTTTATATACCACTTAAAGTTACAATTTGTTTGCAAAAACCAATCTTCAGTGGGGAGGGTAAAATTTTTTTTATTATTTACCATTTTAGAGCTACAATGAAGATTGTGTGTGCAAACACATGAAACTTAAAGTAGTGAAATTTGACATTGCAAATATATATATATATATATAAAAAAAAAATACACAATTTACCATTTTAAATACATGGCAGTAGTTGTGTGCTTAAATGAAAGTTAAAATTTTAGTGATTTAAAGTTTAGGAAATTTTATTATATATAAAATAAAATAGACAATTCAAAAAACAATGCAAAAGTCCTCCCAAGGAAAATTTTATTTTAGCTCAAGAAATTTTCAGAAATTTTTACATATGAACATCATCCTTTCATAACATAAAAACTTTCATTAACAGAATTTCAGATTTATTCAATCAATTGTGAACTTTTATTTTTCCACCTCCTCTTATACTAATTTTTACAATGTATTCCAATGTCAAAGTTGCTACCATTTTAATGACAATTTACAAAAAAAAATACAATGATTTTTAGATATATCAATTTCATAGTCTTTTTAATTGTTACAAAAAAAAAAAAAAAAATTCAATTCCAGTCCTTTGTAGAATATTTCTTATGTTTTTTATAATGTGCCCTATTACTTTATTGTTCTACCATTTGTTTACATAAGCTCATTAACAACTTCACTGTCCTTCCTACTGAACTTTCAGTATGTCCTTTTGAGCATCAAATTTTGCCCAAGTTCTTCCATTTGTTAGAAATTTCAATTGTTTTTTCCATGTCTCATTCCTCCTTAAGCCTTCACATTGTCCTATATGTGATCAAATGGCATTTCAGCCTCTTTAAGTCTCTTCATCATGAGATTTCCCGACATTCATTGCCATATATCAAGATTGATATTACAAATTTTCACATTGCTCATATTTTTGTTTCTAACATTTTCTATCTCAAATGTTTTCTTAGGGCGAAAGGCATGAAGAGATTGTCCAGCATTCCCTGAATAGGAGATTAGATATTACATAATGTTTAACACCTTTTGTTTCTAATGACATTTCCTATCTCTAAATACTTTCACCTTTCAGTATTTATGATTTCAGTATGAAGGTCTTGTTAGATTGTCCAGCATCTTTCTTTGCATATAGAGATTAGATATTACATATCAGAAATTTAATTTTTCTTGCATTTTTAATGTTTACATTTTCCATTTCTCATTTATTTTCTGCTTACTATCTTTAAATCTAAAAGGCATGAAGAGATTGTCCAGCATTCCCTGCCATATAGGAGATTAGATATTACATATCAGTTCAGCACTCTTTTCTTTGCCCTTTAATGACATTTTCTATCTTTTAATACTCTGCTTACTTTTATGAAAGGCATGAAGAGATTGTCCAGCATTCCCTGCCATATAGGAGATTAGATATTACATATCAGTTCAGCACTTTTTTCTTTGTTTCTAATGACATTTTCCTATCTCTTAATACTTTGCTTAGTTTATGAAAGGCATGGGGAGAGTGTCCAGTATTCGACTCATATAGGAGATTAGATATTACATATCAGTTCAGCACTCTTTTCTTTGTTTCTAATGACATTTTCCTATCTCTTAATACTCTGCTTACTTTATGAAAGGCATGAAGAGATTGTCCAGCATTCCCTGCCATATAGGAGATTAGATATTACATATCAAAGTTCCAGCATCTTTTCTTTGTTTCTAATGACATTTTCCTATCTCTTAATACTTTGCTTAGTTTATGAAAGGCATGGGAGATTGTCCAGTATTCATTGCCATATAGGAGATTAGATATTACATATCAGTTCAGCACTCTTTCATTTTGTTTCTAATGACATTTTCCTATCTCTTAATACTCTGCTTACTTTTTATGAAAGGCATGAAGAGATTGTCCAGCATTCCAATGCAATATAGGAGATTAGATATTACATATCAGTTCAGCACTTTTTCTTTGTTTCTAATGACATTTTCCTATCTCTTAATACTTTGCTTAGTTTATGAAAGGCTTTTGCTTAGTTTATGAAATTTATATTTAGATCAGTCCAGCATTCAGGATAGCAGATATGAGCTAGCAGATCAGCATAGTTTAACAATATTTTTCATGCCAATGTATCCCCATTAAATTAATTCAAAAAAAAAAAATTTTTAAATTTTATTATTTAAAACCCAAAAGAAAAAAACGGGAAAAAATAAAAAAATTTTTTTTTCCCCCAAAAGAAAATTTTAATTTTTGAAATTGTTTTAAATTTTTTAGAAAAA